AGACGGGGTTTCACCATGTTGACCAGGATGGTCTTGATCTCTTGACCTCGTGATCCACCCGCCTCGGCCTCCCAAAGTGCTGGGATTACAGGCTTGAGCCACCGCGCCCGGCTGCTTTAAAATCTTAATCGCATAGAGAATAATTTTCTCCACAGAGCTGCTGGCACATTTAGTTTGTTTTCTCCATTAGACTAAGTTTGTGAGAACAGGAGCCAAGCATATTTTGGATAACCATTATATGAGAAGTTCTCAGCATAGTGCTGGACATGTAGTAATCCTTCATTAAGTATTTGAACAAAGAAGGAATAAATGAACGGTTTTGTGGTGTTACATGCTGTGATCGTCATGTTCAGCCAGCTTAGAACCTATACCCAGCATTCGTTGCATTTATATTCACTTTTTATATGAATCTATTCTAATTCAGCAAATCCTGTAGCTAGGATTGCTAACAATCAAGATGTGTGGATTCAGTAGGTGACTAAAAGTCTCTAGAGTTTTGTCTTTATGTGGTTGGTGGAACTAATAATGGGACTTCTAGCCTAATAAATTATTTTAAAGGTAGTATTATTGAAAACTAAGAGACGAATTTACTATGATCATGGGGAAAATTCTGTTACACACACACGTACGTACACACTTATCCCTCTGCCCACAGAGATCACAGTAATTGTGATGAGCCCTTTATTTTCTTCATTTCATTGTAGAGCAAATTGTATTTAGGGAGAAGTGGGCACAAAAATGTAGATTATTGATTTGTTTGTATTCATTTTTATTCTTATGCATCCTAGTATCATAAGGCACAATTGTACCTACTTTGCTAACATGAAGTCAAATCTACGGTTCATCTCTCAAGCATGTTCTAAGACATTAGTCTTTAAATTTTGTATATAGATATATTTTCTATTTTTTTTTTAAGTTGGTCCTAATTTGTAATTTGTATTCTTTTCTTTGAAAATACTACATGTTGTATGAATGTTACTTTTATAAGCCTTTCTATAGCACAATTTTTTTTAAATTATATTTTTACTTAGGTAATAAAAACATAAGAATTCAAACAATATAAAATTGATGTTTGCTGAAAACATCTCTCTCTACTTGGCTCAGTTATTTATCAGTGACCATCACTGACTTTTAATGTATCTTCCAGAGATAGTCAGTGAATTTAGAGACATAAATTTTATGGGAATTTTTTTTTCACATGGCTAGGAGTTTCAAAGGACTTTTTTTTAAATTAAAAAAAAAAATCTCTTTGGACCAGATGTATAAATTTTGGTGTTAAATAATGTACAAGAAGCTGGCATGTTAGTGTGCACCTGTACTCCCAGCTGCCCAGGAGGCTGAGGCAGAAGGATCCCTGAGCTCAAGTGTTTTAGTTCAGTGTGGACAACACAGCAAGACACCACCCTCCATCTCTTAAAAAAAAAAAATGTATGAGAATATCATTAGGGCCATGAAATGCCACAGGTTTTTAAGAAGGAAGTTACTCAGCTGGAGGTAAGGGAATTTCCACAAATGCAAGCTGAGCATTCAAATGGTGTGTAACAACAAAGGCAGCATCACATAATGAATAAAACATTGTGCTGGGAATCAGAAGTGTTTGGTTCTAGTTCTGACTCTGCCATTATTCAGCTGTGTGATTTTAGGTAAAGTCCTTAAAGTCAGTTGGCCTCAGTCGTTTCATCTGTAGAGTGAGGTGAGACTGAATAAAATAATAGAATGTTAGAAAGGATCTTAAGAGTGTCTACTGCCAGGCATGGTGGCTCACGTCTGTAATCCCAGCCCTTTGGGAGGCCGAGGCAGGTGGATCTCGAGGTCAGGAGATCGACACCATCCTGGCCAACACAGTAGAACCCCATCTCAACAAAAAATACAAAAATTAGCTGGGCATGGTGGCGTGCGCCTGTAGTCCCAGCTACTCGGGAGGCTGAGGCAGGAGAATTGCTTGAACCCAGGAGGCGGAGGTTGCAGTGAGCTGAGATAGCACCATTGCACTCCAGCCTGGGTAACAACAGTGAAACTCCGTCTCGAAAAAAGAAAATAAGAGTGTCTACTAAGTTAGAGCCAAGATGGAGGCATACTGAGGAAGACCAGGCCACAGCTCAGCCCAGGCATCCCAGGTGGGCAGTATCTTGGTGGGAACCTCACAGTCCAGAGTAGGCCAACCTGCCCATGGAACACAGTGCATACCCATCAGTGACAGTGGCACACCGTAGTAGTTACCTCAATGGGGGTGGGAGAGGCTGGGGAATCCCTGCCCAGATGTACATTAGATTAGACTCAGGAATTCTGCTCTGGCAGTGTCCCTTTGGTTGAATGTCACTGCTCTTGAGCTTTGTAGGATAAGAAACAGCTAAAAGCAACTGAAGTTAGTCAGTATCCTGAAGTTTGTTTCGTATGAGCCAGTCTCATAAATGATAAATACGAATCTGAGAATGATTTTCTAGTGAACTGTACGTTAGAATTAGCTGGTCATTACATTCCCAGTAGAAACATCTGTGGGAAGTTTACAGTCAGAACATGGCTTGATATGTTTGAAATCAAATCAGGTGGAGTTTGTCTTTATAGTGACACATTAAAATATGATGGTATGACTAATTCACCTCTTCTGAAGGGATGTACCCACCCAAGGAAGGAGATTCGCATGTGGTCAGGACAGCCTGCCTGCTTTAGAGCTAGAGACACAAGGTAGATCTTGCTCTTTCCTTCCCTTAACTCATCTGTCATCATTCAGCTTACAGTATTATTGATTTGGTTTCATATCTGTTACGTTTTCCTCATATTATAATCTTAGAATTTAATGTTTAAAAATTCTACATCTCCAGATAATTGAAATGTGGCTGTTTTTCTCCTATACATATATTAAATCTCAAAAGCAGCAAACAGTCACTCAGGAGCCAGTTTGTGTTACAAAATCACGATTTGTGATCTGTGAAGATTTTAAACAGCTTTATTAAGATATAATTAACATGCTGTAAATATACACCTATGTAAAGCATGCAAATGATTTTTAGATCTTACAAATGGAATCATACAGTATGTGGTCTTTTGTGTCTGGCCGCTATGACTTAGCATAAAGTTCACCCATGTTGTAAATGTGCCAGTACTTCATTCCTTTTTATTGCCAAATAACATTTCATTGTATGGATATACCACATTTTGTTTATCCATTCATCGGTTGATGGACTTTTGTGTTGCCTCCACTTTTTGCATATTATAAATAAGGCCGTTCTGGATATCTGCAAACAAGTTTTTGTGTGGACCTGTTTTCATTTCTTTTGGGTATATACCTAGGAGTAGAATTGCTGGGTCATGTTGTAATTCTGGTTAGCATTGTAAGGAACTGTCAGACTCTTTTCCAAAAGGCTGAACCATTTTACATTCCTACCAGCAGTGTATGAAGCTTTCAGTTTTTTCACTTTTTGTTTGTTTGTTTGTTTTAATATGGAACCTTCACGAGTTCACGTGTGGTTTCTGTGCAGGGGCCATGCTAATCTCTGTATCATTCCAATTTTCACTGTATGGGCTGCCAAAGCAAGCACAGTTTTTCCATAGTCTTTTTTTTTTGGCGACAGAGTCTTACTCTCTCATCCAGGCTGGATTGCAGTGGCGCAATCTTGGCTCACTGCAATCTCTGCCTCCTGGGTTCAAATGATTCTCGTGCCTCAGCCTCCCAAGAAGCAGGGATTACAGGTGCCCACCACCATGCCCAGCTATTTTTCTATTTTTAGTAGAGACAGGGTTTCGCCATGTTGGCCAGGCTGGTCTGGAACTCCTGACCTCAAGTGATCCACCTGCCTTGGCCTTGAAAAGTGCTGGGATTATAGGCAAGAACTACTGAGTCTGGCCAGTTTTTCCACATTCTTTTTTTTTTTT